ATCCTTTCCACCTACCCCAGTGATTGATGGGCAGGATGGATTGCTGCTCTCAGATGGGCCACTTCTTGAATCTGGGACGGTTCTCCATTTCCCAAATTTGTCTCCTTCACGAGCGAATCGAAAAAGGGAAAGAGAGACATAGGTTGGGGAAGAGGACCAACTAAATTCCCCATGATGGTGGTCTTCTCCAGACCTGGAAGGTCGAGCCTGCTGATCGACGAGTGGAAGATGGGACCCGGCCACAAGGACCAAGAACTCCTGGATCCACTTTAGAATTCCAGGATAGGGGGTATTGAAAGATATTCAAAGCCCCCAGCTCCAAGAATGGGCTCAAGTATTCCCAGGCCCCCCATGAGTTAACCCTTGATCTGTGGCCTTTGTACCTACTTTGGAGCAGGTGCTCCCCATTCTAGCACATGCTAAGAAACAGGTTCAACATCTCGCCCAGTCATGGGCCCGCCTCTGGCAACTCCGGCTGAGGGACGGTTTGGGAGGAGGACAAACTAAATGCCGCAAGGCAGTTGGTCTTCTTCACAGCTTCGAAAACCCCTATTACTTTTTGGTATAATCCAGGTTTGCTTTCGCAGAGCTTTCGCGGAGCTTTCGCGGCCTGCATTCTGGCTTTCGCGGAAGGTGTGGTGTTATGTGGGGCTTTCGCGGCGGCTTTCGCGGCGATTCGTTTTCGATTGGGAAATTCGATTGGGATATTGTACAATAAAGTGATTAATTATCCGGTATAAGTGTCCTTAGGGTGGTCAAAACTGAACAATTTTCTTTCCGGCAACATCCTGGCACAAGGAGTTGTAGCAGCACCGTTCAAGTATGATTGTTGTCATCAGAAGAGGAGGAAAACTTGCTGAAACTTTTTGCTGGGGCCAGATACCTTTCCCGGATATTTTCGACTTTCGCGATTCTTTCGCGAGGCTTTCGCGCGGCTTTCGCGGAAATTCGTCTGGGTTTTTCGATTTTCCCCTGAAACACTTGCTCTTCAGTGCTGCTGCTGCTGCTGCTGCTGCTGCTGCTGCTGCTGCTGCTGCTGCTGGCTGGTCTGCTGCGGCTGGCTGGCTGGCCTGCTGCGGCTGCCTGCATAAAAATATGGTCACCCACATAAACAAGACGACATGCACAAGAAATTCGACTTTCGCGAAAGCTTTCGCGACGCAGTTCTTCTGGGGTTCTTTCGCGGGGCTTTCGCGAACCTTTCGCGACCTGCGTTTTGGCTTTCGCGAAAGAATGTGAGATTACAGTTTGCACACTTTTCATCATAGAGGTTTTTGAAGCTGCTCACAAGTTTAATTCATCCTAAGTAGATGGAAATTCAACATAGCTGGATTGCAAAAAAATCTTGCAAAAAACAAAAATGATGAAAAAATGTAAAATACTTTGTGCAAAACTATGTGCAAAAAAAAGGCTGGGAAGCCATGATTCTGGAACACTAAATGGTGGAAAAACAAAAGGGTTGGAGATGAGGGGGACTGAGGACATAAATATCACACATAAGTGGTGGCTTCCCAGCCACAACGAGGCCAACTTCCCAGTCAGCTTGGATCCACGGACGCCTTTTTCCGCTAAGTCTGAGCTTAGTCCTTTGGCTTCTTAAGTGCACCCTTTCGCACATGTTTTTGGCTCTTTGAAATTTGGGATTCATTTTCCGTGGTATCCTCCATCATAGGGTCAACCTGGGAGTCTTCCATCATCACCGGGTCATAGACTACAGGTTTGGACACGTCAAGTGGCAGACCCATTGCCTCAACATCCCAAATTTCAGGATTGTATTGCACAAAATCAGCTGCTTCAGAAACTGTTTCAGGCAGCTGCGAATCGTCTTCGGCCGCCACCTCGTCACGAAGACACAAGATATTAACATGTTCCATTCATGATTGGCCTGGCCTTTGGGTTGTGGTCCTTTGGAGCCAGTGCGGTGCTCTCAGGGTGGAGCGGCGATATGGTGGGCTCACTGGTCTTCACTGGCATTATTTCAAGCCTTATTTCAATCCCTCCCACAATTTCGGGAATGCTGAGCCAAAACTTCAAAACATACATATTATGGATCTTAAACAATGTGCATTGTGTTCGGAATGCTGAACCCCACGACCCACGGTCCAAGCAAACGGTTTCTTTCAAATTGCACTACGTGATGCCTGAAAGTGAGACGCTCAAGCATTACACATTGTAAACACATCCATAAATAGGAGCTGGGCTTCCTTCAGCTCATGGGTCACATGTGCCAAGCCCACTTGCTCCTCAGCTTTTTCAACCATGTACAGGAGGAGTTGCGATACTTGTGGATACTCCTGAACCACAGTTGCTCTGTAGGGGCACCTTTGAAAAGATACCAGCGGCAAGTGATCAGGTCTAGTTCCAATCCCTTCAGCTGATTGTATGGGGATCAAACCCCCATCATTCATGTTCCGAAGCATGGCTGTGGTCGCCGCGCGCCATATGTCCGTCAAGACATCCAATGAAGGCCTGCGCCCACACCACGAGACTATGTTCCGGCAGTTCTCTCTCAGAAGCTCCAAGTCATCTTCCTCAAAGTTGTAGGCCGGATCAACCACTAGGTTGCAGAAGAAAAGAACCATTGCCTCTGTAGCAACCATGACCTGGGCAAGATAGATGGGAAATTTTGTTTTTGGTTCCAAAACAGCGTGTTTGGTCAAAGCTGCGCCTCAATAGTGGCAAAGCCCTCACATACGCAGCCCGGGGGATTGAACTGAAATGTTCATGGGTTTTCAAGAGATGGTTCAAACTGACTTTCCCAGCATTGGACTTCCCAGCCCCCAATCAACAGGCAGCATTGGACTTCCCAGCCCCAATCAACAGGCAGCATTGGACTTCCCAGCCCCAATCAACAGGCAGCGTTGGACTTCCCAGCCCCCAATCAACAGGCTTCCCAGCCTTTGACGCACGTTGAGAAGTTTGTTTAGCTTCCACTTTTTCCACCAATCTTGCGCGCCTGCGCCATGTCTGCAGTTGGAGGAGCGCCTGGCATGATGGATTTCAGTCATTAATCAAACGAACATCAATCTACTATGAATTGAATCGCTGAACCATGAAGGAACATTCTTTCAGAAAGTAGTCAGTGATGCATACTGCTTTTTTTCCATGGGCCCCCGCTGTTAGCAACTAAATAATTAGTACTGCTGGCTCTGACGAGCAGCCAGCATTTGCGCCCGAAGTTCACTGCACAGCCATGCGTCAGACGCCTTCTTTTGGACGTCTTTTGTGTCCTCGTGAGAGAGCACCTCAGCATGAAAAGCCTTCCATTCTGCAATGAACTTTGAACGTACCGAGCGCATATCATTGCTAAGGGCACTCTGTGCCAAGGATGCGCTCATTTGAAAAGTGTCCTCAGCTTGTCCTTTGCCATCCCCTTTTGCATCTGCCGCTGCAGCTGCTCCTCCCCCATGCGTTGACTCAGCTGCTTCTGATGCTTTCTCTTCTGCTCCCACTTGGCATGCCATTTCCGAGAGTTGACACGTGCCTGCTCTTTGCGACGTTCTTGTTCTTTTGCTTTGCTTTCGGGAGTCATGTCTTTCAAGAAGAGCCGCTGGCGTTTGGCAGGTGGGATTGGATCACTGCCATCACCGTCAACCATGTCAGCACCAGGCTCAGGTCGATCATTCCCATCACCTTCTCCCTTCTCAACCATGTCAGCACCAGGCTCAGGTCGATCACTCCCATCACCTTCTCCCTTCTCAACCATGATGTCAGCGCCCTGCTCAGGGCGATCTTCAACTCCTGTTTTATTGTCCTCGACCATCATGTCACCAGGGAAAAGTTCTTTCTCACATTTGAGATGTTCTCCGCTAAACCCATCATAGTCCATCGCGCAATCATCGAGCCCTTGCTTCACACCATCAAAATCCTTGTGCTCCACACCCTCAAAATCCTTGCCTTCAGGATCCACAAGCTGAGAGCACTGAGAGTCAGCCCAGAAGCGCAATTGATCCGATTGGACACCATCATGTCGTAGCACAGGGGCAGCGACCGGTGGAGTTGGAGCAGTGTGTTTGGGCGACGGTGTTTGGGTGCCTCCAATGCAGAATGTCGGTTCCACAGGCTGCGCGAGGCTTGAAACTGGAAAGGAAGGCTGGTTGACAACCACATCGTGTTGAATCACATGGAAGCCACTCATTGACGAAGGCTCTTCAAATTCCACATCATCCTCCACCCATAGAGGCTCCATCACTGAGCACTGGGCACTATAGACTATTTCTGCACACCCCGCGTGCTAAATCTGAGCGACAAACAATAAATAATCACGATGTTCATGGCATTTCGTTTTCGAAACATGAATGAATGAGACCATACACCCTGCTCATAGACGCTTTTTTGGCACGATGCTTTCTGCAACGTATATACTTGTTCAAAAAAATGGCCTTATGCCACCACCAATCACACCACGCGTTGGACATGATCCTTCGGGACCTTGAGCTTCTTGGCCAGGAACCACAATGGTTTGGCACTGCAAAGAGCCTTCTCGTTCTTGTGGACACGCATGCGCCACACCTTCGCGAAGGCAGGGAGCTGGGGAACATGCTTTTTAAAGCTCAGAGCTGGGAAGCTCTTGGAGCTGGGAAGCTCTTGGAGCTGGGAAGCTCTTGGAGCTGGGAAGCTCTTGGAGCTGGGAAGCTCTGGAAGCTCTTGGAGCTGGGAAGCTCTTGGAGCTGGGAAGCTCTTGTGCTGGGAAGCTGGCTTTAACTTTACTGTTTAGGGCTGGGAAGCTCTTAGCACTGGAAAGCTAGCTATGGACATTGGGAAACCACGTTCATGTTAAATTAAGCAATGTATAAAAAGGAAAGCTGAAACTCCCCGGGCCTTCTCCAGTCCTGGCGATGAATCCAACACATGGCACGCGAAGAAACTGGCTGCGTTTGTTGCACGAAGGCCAGTGAGCTGCACATTGTTTGGGCGCCACAACATCTTCGATCCTTGCTTTGGTGCAACGTCAAACCTCAGATCAATAAACTGAATGATTTGAAAAACCATATGGTGCTGAATCATGTGGTCACAAATGTTCACTCATTTGAACAAATCCATTTGAATTTCATTCCACTTAGTATAGTAAGATGTCAAGTGAGTCTGTCAAGTCTTGTGGAAAGACTACTAAGTGGTTCACTGATCTGTCGCAGAACCTTGCACCACGCTCGGTGGGCGTGTGTATGTATGACCTCCTAGGTCAATGTCGACCAAGCCATCAGATTCGCACTTCTGAATGACCTCTCGCAGCTTCTTCACAGTCGAATCTTGACTGTTTTCCTGCAACAATGCAACAATGATGATGATAGCAGAGCGATTTCAAGCATAGGACTTGAACTAAACATCATGACATCGATCATTCATAATAAAATATTAAAATAACTGTTTGGACCAAACTTGCCTCGAGCACAACATTGCACATGTCTGAAGTAAAGCTGCACAACACCCCCTTGCCCTGAGGATATTCTTCGAGGTAGGCATCAACTTTCGCATCCTGGAGCCAGGTTCCGGCCCCATAGGTGAGGAAAGCTTCATTGGATTCCAGCCCGGTGATTTCATAGTCCGCAGATGCTTCAAGGAAGAACTTGGTGATGTCATCACCATCTCCCACCAAATAGCCTGTGAGCTCGGGACACCACTGAAATTTGCCTTTCACTTTCCCATCATAGGCAGCATGCCACGCAGCAGCTTCACGGGGCTCACCTGCAAAAGCAGTATCCCAATCCAAGCTCGGGGGCATTGGGGCAGCTGCGTCTGCCAAACCAGCCTCTGCGGCAGCCGCATTCTCAGCACGAGTGCCAAAGGACCTATCGAACTCGATCAGGATTTCCTTCCATTGAGGACTTCGAACAGGATCAGCAAGCCACTCATTGCGAATGTCCTGGTATCCAGGAATGAAATTTGCAGGGGTTCAATGAGGGCACCTACAACAACAACAACTAAAGCAGCCAAAAAACACTAAACATAATGACATTTGCAGGGGTTCAATGAGGGCGCCTACAACAACAACTAAAGCAGCCAAAAAACACTAAACATAACTAAATAATTTATATCCCTAGTGTCACGTGGAAGGCACAACGTGCCATCCAGCAAAGTGCAAATTTTGAGCTCCGGTTCTTGAACAGGACGCGGCAAAGTGTCTTCGTCGATCTCAGCTCTATATCGTGGCAGCTTGTCAGCCATCACACCCTCACCATCCTTCCACATGGCCAGGATCCTGTTCTTGGTAATGGTCAGCGCTGTGTTGAAGTAGACTTGCTTGTCAGTCTGACTCACACATGGCAGCCCCAGATCCAAACACGCACGCTCGACACAGCCATCATACAGCATGCCATTGACCACAACAGTTGGAAGCAGCATCTCAGAACCAGGGCCTGAGAACAGAATGACTCGATGGAAAGTATAATAATCAAAGCCATTTTTGTGCCCCGCCACAGCAACAAACAAGTGAACTGAAACATTGTGAAACATTCAATCATTGAAAGATATTGAAAGAGAAGCCAAGGGACCCACTGACAAGAGGTCTTTGAGGATGCACTTGGGGATTTCCAATCCTCCAAGCCATTGGGCCGTCTCTTGGAGGTCTGTATAGTTTCGCCGACCTTCCGCTGAGGACACTCCAGAGGCCATGGGAACCACAAACTCGCTTTCCTCGATTGCTCGCGGCGTCTCCGATGTCAGCTGAGCCAGCCAAAGCTTCGAAAAGCAAAAGACATTCACGGTCTCCCGATCCACCTGGCAAAAGTTTGGGCTAAGTTCGTGAACCCGGAATAGTATGTGAGCAATGAACATGAGCCGTGTTGTGTAACATGTTTTTGCCCCTCCTTCTCAGCAGATCTGCTGGCACGATGGGCAGTGCCCTTGCTGGGCAGTGTCTTGTCTGCCACACAAATGTAGAATGTGAATCCACTGGGCATGCCCCTGTTGTGGTGCAATGTGCTGACATCAATAGGGAGGAAGAAGCTTCTAAACTCCAGCTGGTGGTTTATGAGTTTGTCCTCCAGCCTCCTGGAAGAAAGAAGTAAGTGAAAAAATAACATAGAAGGACACATATATAATCACAACAACAATGATGTACCTCTCTCCTGATGTCAGTCCGCAGTGCACCACATCCAACTGTAGAAGTCAACAATGGCAAAGTGATCACCACACAGGTGCCTGAGCTTAAAGATCGTCGCGGTAAGAACATGACTTCCCAGCCAGGTTCACACAAGCGACAACTACTAGGTCAACCAAAGGCTTCCCAGCCAGCAAAACCCGTAATGGATAGATCAACTCATGATCATTCATGCTTTCACGACTGAATGTCAAGTTCGTCACTCAAAGGAGACTTATCAATGATCCTTTCGCACCACGCGCCAATCTTGTTCAAGTCCTTCTGTGCGAGCACGCCGTTCTTGGTCAGGTCCACCCACCCGACAATGTTCACTGTCTTGGCCTTTCAAAGTTGAGTTCAATTAACTTATAGTTCAATAGACTGACCAATGTCCACGCTACTGCGTAGACCACACAAAACGCATTGCTTTCACTTGGCTGGTTTTACGAAGAAAGTGCAAAATAGTAGTATTTCAAAGAAGCAGACCTGCTGCTTCACTTGGGTCGCTTTGATGATCTTGTCAACTTCCGCAGGAACGACCATGTCCCCCACAAGGCCCATGAAGCAGTTGCTCAACATAAAGTCCTCCACAACTTTCTTTCCTGTAGCCAGCTGGTTTTTCTCATGAAGAACTTTGGCTACATGGCGCTTGCTGGAGAGCTTCGCTTTCTCCGCATTGAACCTGCTCATGGCAAGGCAGTCAGCAGTGAGCTTGATGTGCACCTCATTGAACTTGCTCGCGCTTGCCAGTTCTTGGGCAGCGATCAAATCTGCGGACTCATCGCCTTGAAGCACAGTTGGCAAAGCAGGTGGCTCCACAATGTCCTGCCAAACAACCAAAGACTGCACGCGAAACTGTGGATTCCGCGAGGCGATGACAGCTTCAATGTCTTGGAAGTAGTCCCTGGGCCAGGGCCACCAAAAACATTACAAAGTTTGAAAGTCACGCGACAAACACAACAAATCCTTATATACGAAAACAAAGCCAATACCAAAGCCATGCTAAGAGTCTTCGAGAGAAAAGCTGAAAGAAGCTTGGCGTCAACATCAGGCTTGGCAGTAGCTCGCTTGGCGCACTGACGGATGTAAGAGAAGACACAAGCGAAGTCCACAAGCTTGTCAAACTCTTCGGCATTTGCTCGCGCTCGATTTCGGGCACTTGCTTTCATCCGTCGTGTGGCATTTGTAAAGCACTTGATGTGGAGCTCCATCAACATGCACTGGGCTTGCGCGGTCACTGTCAACATGTCCTGGTAGTTCTCCACCGTGTTCTTGGGTCGCGCGCCAAGCAGCCACCGTGTCGTGCGTAGCTGCTCTGTGCTGAATGCACTATCCTTCCATTTCGTGAAGGTGAGGTGATTGTTCATGATGTCTCTTGATTCCTTTCAGGGAAATGTTACAAATTGCTGATGACTGATTTCAGAACATATGAAATTTTTAATAACAAACAACAGATTAAATCTGAAGCAAGTTTTGATCCCTTGTCCTTGGTGGTGCCAATCAGCAAATTCAAAATTGTACGCTCTTTGTCACTGTCAATTTGGTGTTTGACATGTAGTCCTGGGCTCTCATTGAACTGCCCGATGACCTTCTTGAGGCGCGCCTCTGTGTTTCCTGCCATGGTGTCAGCTTGGCGCTCCATTACCCGACTGAACCGTAAAGCCATTTGCAGCACTGTAGGGCTTTGCCGCTCAGCCCCGCGGAACGACAGAGAGAGGTTTCGGAATGATTGCTCGTCTTTGTTCATTCCAGATGCAATCTCAGTTCCAAAAATGATGTGTTTAAAGCACCAAGCAAAATCAAACATGATGAATCAATCAGCAACACCCTAATGATCGTCAAGCTGAGAGGCATGCATGGGCAGAAGCCATGCTCGGTCAAGGAACTTCTCCAATGGCTTCAATTGGGACATGACGCGGGAGTCGGAGCAATCAAGCTCAGAGAGCACCAATGCCACCCAAGCCACACAGCTCATTCGAGTCCACCCCTTCACCACATCAATGCTGAAGGGCACCAGTGGCGCACCTGAGATCAGAAACGGACAGGCGCGGAGATCATGACGATCGACCCAGCCATCCCACCCACTGTCACTATGACATGGTTGGCTTCCCAGCCGTTGTGGCATGATTGGCTTCCCAGCCGTTGTGACATGATTGGCTTCCCAGCCGTTGTGGCATGATTGGCTTCCCAGCCGTTGTGACATGATTGGCTTCCCAGCCGTTGTGGCATGATTGGCTTCCCAGCCGTTGTGACATGATTGGCTTCCCAGCCGTTGTGACATGATTGATTGGCTTCCCAGCCGTGATGCAATTGGTTTAGCATGTGACCTAAAACACAAAGTTGGAACCCCCTCAGCCCAGCGAAACCCATCTTTTTGTCGCTCACGGTCTTGAATCATTCGTGCGGTTCATCTTCTTGGTCGTCATGGCCCATTTCACCCTGCCACTCGGACTCGAGGTTGGGATCAAGCCACCAACTGTACCCTCCAGTCATGATGGCATCGCTGTCACGGTCAGCATCCACATCCGCATCGCCCAACCAGGTGCGCCAGTTGCCATAGCCGTTCATCAAGGCGGTCCATTGAGGGAAGGCGTCTTGCATATCCACTGTGGGCACTGGTGCATCCATGGGCTCCACTGACGCTTCCTCCTTCCCCTCCTCAGTGGCTGGATCTGGGCCTGCAGGATCTGGTTGGGCGGGTGTTGGTGCCTCAGCCACCGCTTCTGGTTGCAACACAAGCGGCGTGTCACCCTCCGTCGGCATGTCACCCTCCGTCGGCATGTCACCCTCC